GAAACAATGTGTCGTTAAGGCTGGCTAATCTCTCTTTGAAACAAACCTGTTACTGTTTCAGCAGGATCTTTTGACATTGTTTTATTTTCATTGTAACCTTTTAAAAAACTGTTACTTTCTAAATAGGGAGAGTGATTAATAAGTGGGCTAACTCAAAGAAAACTATTAGATGAATACAGTTAGCTGGGCATGGTGGCATACGCCTGCAGTTCCAACTATTCCAGAGGCTGAGGTGGGAGAACTGCTTGAGCCTAGGCGGTGGAGGCTGCAGTGAGCTATGATGGTGCTACTGTTCTCCAGCCTGGGCAACATAGCAAGACCCTGTCTATAAGTGATAATAATAATAGTACAGTTGTTATGAGAATATCACAAAATCCTGACCCCTCAACCATCTGAGGTTTGAGAAATTCTAAGAGTAATGTAGAAGCCACTGATTTAATGAGATGATAAATATTAAGCATGTAACACCTGTTTACCCAAAACAACCTCATTCACTCATTCAGGCCCAGGCTGGACATTGGTGAAATTAACAGAATTAACTTCTGAGTTAGGGCACAGATCCTAAGTAAAAAAATAAATACCTGCAGGTGCAGTGGCTCATGCCTGTAATCCCAGCACTTTGGGAGGCTGAGGCAGGCAGATCACCTGAGTTCAGGAGTTCCAGACCAGCCTGAGCAACATGGTGAAACCCTGTGTCTATAAAAAATATGAAAATTAGCCAGGTGCAGTGGTGTGCACCTGCAATCCCAGCTACTCAGGAGGCTGAGGTGGGAGAATCTCTTGAACGTGTTAGGAAGATGTTGCAGTGAGCCAAGATTGTGCCACTGCACTCCAGCCTAGGCAATAGAGCAAGGCCCTGTTAAAAGAAAAGAAAGAGCCAGGCGCGGTGGCTCATGCCTGTAATCCCATCACTTTGGGAGGTTGAGGCGGGCGGATCACGAGGTCGAGATCGAGATCATCCTGGCCAACATGGTGAAACCCTGTCTCTACTAAAATACAAAAAATTCCAGCCAGGTGCAGTGGCTCATGCCTGTAATCCCAGGACTTTGGGAGGCAGAGGCAGGTGGATCACCTGAGGTCAGGAGTTTGAAACTAGCCTGGCCAACAAGATGAAACCCGCCTGGCCAACAAGGTGAAACCTCGTCTCTACTAAAAATACAAAAATTAGCCAGGCATGGTGGCGGATGACTGTAATCCCGGCTACTCAGGAGGCTGAGGCAGGAGAATTGCTTGAACCCAGCAGGTGGAGGTTGCAGTGAGCCAAGATTGTGCCACTGCACTCCAGTCTGGGTGACAGAGTGAGACTTCGTGTCAAAAAAAAATTAGCTGGGCTTTCGGCTTGGAGGAGACCAAGGTGCAACTTTCTTCGGTCATCGAGAATCCAGGTTCTTCTGACATCAGCCAATTCCACCATGCTGCCAAAGTTCAACACCAACAAGATCAAATTCATATACCTAAGGCACACCAGGGGTGAAGTGGGTGCCACTTCTGCACTGGCCCCCAAGATTAGTCCTCTGGGTCTGTCTCCAAAAAAACTTGGTAATGACATTGCCAAGGCAACGGGTGACTGGAAGGGCCTGAGGATTACAGTGAAACCGACCATTCAGAACAGACAAGCCCAGATTCAGGTGGTGCCTTCTGCCTTTGCCCTGATCATCAGAGCCCTCAAGGAACCACCAAGAGATAGAAAGAAACAAAAAAACATTAAACACAATGGGAATATTGCTTTTGATGAAATTGTCAACATTACGTGACAGATGCGGCACCGATCTTTAGCCAGAGAGTTCTCTGGAACCATCAAAGAGATCCTGGAGACTGCCCAGTCTGTGGGCTGTAATGTTGATGGCCGCAACCCTCATGACATCATAGATGACATCAACAGTGGTGCTGTGGAATGCCCAGCCAGTTAAGAAGCGCAAAGAAAAATATTTCAATAAAGGGTCATTTGACAACTGGAGGAAAAAAAAAATTAGCCAGGCGTTGTGGCATGCGCCTGTAGTCCCAGCTACTCAGGAGGCTGAAGCAGGGGAATTGCTTGAATCCGGGAGGCGGGGGTTGCAGTGAGCGGAGATTGCGCCACTGTACTCCAGCCTGGCAACAGAGCGAGACTCCGTAAAAAAAAAAAAAAAAAAAAAAGAAAAGAAAGAAGAAGAAGAAAAGAAAGAAGGAAGAAAAGAGAGAGAAGGAGAAGAAAAAAAAAATTAGCTGGGTGTGGTGGCGTAGTCTCAGCTACTCTGGAGGCTGAGGTGGGAGCACTGCTTGAGCCCAGGAGCTCAAGGCCACAGTGAACTGTGATCAAGCCACTGCCCTCCAGCCTGGGTGATAGAGAGAGACTCCAGTCGAAAGCAAGCAAGCAAGGAAGAAAAGGAAGAAAGGAAGAAAGAAAGAGAGAGAAAAGGAAGGAAGGAGGGAAAGAGAAAGAGAAAGAAAGAAAAAGAAAGGAAGGAAGGAAGAGAGAGAAAAAGAAAGAAAAGAAAGAAAAAAAAATTAGCTGTGCATGGTGCCTGAGCCTGTGGTCTAACCTGCTTGGGAGGCTGAGGTGGGAGGATTGCTTGAGCCTGGGAGTTCGAGGCTACATGGCTACTTTGAGCCATGACTGCACTGAAAACTCTTGGCCTCAAGTGATCCTCCGACCTCAGCCTCCTAAATTTTTGGGGTTACAGGCATGAACCACGGCACCCAGCACATTTAGCATCTTCTATGTGCTAGGCACTCTGCTAGGTTTGTTGTAAGGATTACATGCAGTATCTCAATCCTCACAACAAACCTAAAAGGCAGGGACTATTACTGTCCCCAATACATTGCTGGGGAAACAGGCCCAGAGGGGGTCAAGTGACTTGCTCACTTGCTCAAGGCTGCATAGCAAGAAAGTAGACCTGGTTGTCTCCCTCCAGAATGTTCTTCTTCTTCTTCTTCTTCTTTTTTTTTTTTGAGACAGAGTCTTCCTCTGTAGCGCAGGCTGGAGTGCAGTGGTGTGATCTCACCGCACTGCAGCCTGTGCTTCCCGGGTTCAAACGATTCTCCTGCCTCAGCCTCCGGAGTAGCTGGGATTACAGGTGCCTGCCACCTTGCCCGGCTAATTTTTGTATTTTTAGTAGAGATGGGGTTTCACCATGTTGACCAGGCTGGTCTGGAACTCCTGACCTCAGGTGATCCGCCCACCTCAGCCTTCCAAAGTGCTCAGACTACAGGCGTGAGCCACGTGAGCCACGGAGGGGCCCGGAATAGGTGCTTCTTACCCCACTCCTGCAGCTGGCCTTTGTCACTCAGCATCATGTTTCTCGTTCCGAGTTATCTGTGTGGCCTGTGTGTGTAGTTCTGTCTGGCTCGGGCCTTTTATCCTCTAGGGAGGACCCATCTGGGAGGATGGGCATATAGGCTGTGCTGTATGCAATTTGTGCCAATTTAGTACAAGCCAGCAGCAAACACCTTTCTGGACTCTCCTGCTGCAGGCTTGGGGTTCCCTGCTGGAACCTGCTGGTCACAGGATGGGTGACCTTTTTAGTTTTCACAGCTAGTGTCCAATCAATTAGTCCAGGCCTCACCAATGTCATTTGCGGTGACAAGGTTCAATGCTGCCTTTTCTGATGGGTCCAATGGGGTCCTGGGGATGGGTGTGTCTCAAGGGGATGTGTCTGTAGGGTGTTTGTTCCAGCCCCGTCTTCCGTCCCATCACTTTCAGTCCCCAGCGCCACGGCGGCCGGGCACCGGAAACCCCCAAGGCCCGGGCGGGGGCGGGGGTCGGCCAAGCCGCTTCCCGCGGAAGGAAGGGCCCGGCGGTTCCTGCGACAGGATGCGCGGCGAGGCCCCCTCCCCAGCGGCCCGGGACTTCCCCAAGCCGCGCCACGCTAGCGGGGGAGTAACTCCGACGTGGGTGCATTGAGCTACTGCCTGCGGTGTGGGGCTCCAATGCCCCCACGTCCCCTGGGGGAGTTGGGTGGGTCAGGAATCAGAGTAGGTGGCGCCTTTTAAAAGCCCCCCACGTGTTCCCAGGAAGGAATCAGGCAGCCGTGGGGGCGAGCTTGGCTGGAGGAGAACGGTGAGAAGCTCTCCTTCACAATCCACACAGGAGGGGAAAGGGGGTGTGGGTTGGGCGGAAGGGGAACCAAAGCTCCCAGATTCCACCAGCAGACGTTTTGAGGCCGGTCTGCCCCTCCTTCTACATTCCGGCCACGGGGTCAGTTCCCCTGGGGTCATGGGAAGCCTGCGGCGGCAGAGCCAGCCGTCGGGGGGGCGGGGCGAGTGCTTTCCCGGCGCCTCCCGCCGCCACCACTCCCCGCACCTGCGACTCCTTTGTCTTCCCGACAGGCCCCCTCCCTTCGCCCTGGGGCAACGCCTACAACCCCACTCCTAAACATACGTGGGGGACATTGAAAGGGCTTTCTCCTTTCAGGGTGGTTATTCTAGAGCTGAGGAGTGACCCAAGCAAATAACTAGGGCTGTAATGGGCATTTTTAAAAACCTAAAGCCGGGTGGAGACACTGCTTAGAGGTCCATTTCACAGATGAAGAAACTGAGGCTACACGTCCCTGCCTAAGCCACAAAGCGATTTCTCCAGGAAGATACGGGAATTGGGGAATAAATAGCCCTTCAAAGCTCACCCGCTCAGCTCCACCTGAGGCTGTAGGGCCCCGGGCCGCAGCTGATTCAGTTTGGTCTCGGGGTGGGGGCGGGGGGAGAGATCTACCACCTTTCAAGGCTCCAAAGGGCGATCAGTCCCCAGCTCCGCTTGGGGCACTGTTTAGTACTATGGTCTCAACTCAGAAAGCCCCGACCTCCCTGTCCCGGAGTTGTAGGACAATTTCAAGGGAACCCTCAAATCTGGAGGGGGCGGGGCTTCAGTTAGGGAATGCCCGGGCAAGGAAAAGAGGGCCCAGCCCTCTCCCGCCCACGTGGTAACCGGTCAGACCGGTTCTTGGGGCCCCAGCGAGCCGCCGCCAGCCCCTGACCCTTTAACCCCGCCCCTCCCCCATCAGAGCAGAAAACCAGACAGCACCGGCTTTTTTACTCAAATGGTCTTTATTTTCCTGACATTTCTAACAAAACGCCAGGTAGACGGAGTTAAAAAGAATTCACCACACGAAGGGTAAACAAAACAGACCCTCAGGAACTCCCTGGCAAAGATGTTCTCCTCCCCAGATTGTCCCAGTTTCACCAGCAACTGGTCTCAGCTCAGCTTTATGCTTTTCCACTGACACCCCCACCCCTCCAACATTCTCGTGATTCAGACCAGGAACTCCTGGGATGATTGTGTCCATGTCTGAGGGAGGGGCACGCTGAAACCTGGGAACCTACTGGGCACCTCTAATGCAGATGAGAAAAACTTGAATGTGAAACTAGATCAGCCCCCGCTCTCACCCGAAGGTGCAGAGGCGCGGGACATTAACCAGCAGCACGCGGGGGTGAAGTGACTCAGGCCACTCTCCTCCCCACTCCCCAGGGCGGGTGCACGCCCCAGACCCTCCTCCCAGGCCCCACACCCACGCAAGGCGACAGGAAGCTCCCCACGCCTGCCCCATGACGCAACGATGACCGCTTACACAAGTATGTCAGTGGAGGGGGAAGGGGAGTGCCTGGAATTCTCCGAGGTTGGAAACGCAAAACCAACTCTTGAAAAACCTTGAAAAGGGCCAGCACAGCCCCCAGTACAAAATCAAGTCCGACCCTGAGGAGATCTAAAAAACAAAACAAAACAAAACAAAAATACAAAACAAAAACCCAAGCCTCCCTTCTGCCAGTCCAGAAGGAGAGCGAAAGGTTCACGTCCCAGTCCACTAAGACAGCACCTCTGGGCGCAGGTCTCTGCGGAAGGCGCCCGCGCCCCCGGCTCAGACTCCTCGGTGCCGTCGCTGCACACTGAAGGCGATGGCTCCCCGGGGACAGAGTCCCTCTCCGGGCCTCTCAGCAGCCCGGGCGGCGGCTTCTCTCCACGGTTTTCGCGGGCGCTCCCCCCGGGATGGAGGGGGGTGGCCTCGTCTCGGGTCTGCGCCCTCCGGCCGACGGTTCGACGCGCGCTCTGGGATCTGGCAGCGCCGCTCGGGGTCCTCAAAAGGCCACCACGGCCCGCACGAGCACGTTGAGCATGCTGTCCGCCGGGCGGCAGGCGGGCTTTGCCTCGCACGCGGGCGGCGCCGTCGGAGGGGCCGCGGGGCTGCAGTTCAGGAGGCCGGAGAAGCGCCTCTGCAGGACGCGGGCCAGGTTGGGAAAGGCGCCCTCCGCTTGCGCCGGGGGCGGTTGCAGGCGATCGGCGACTTCGGATGACGCCCCCTCCTCTTCCTCCTTTTCTTCCAGCCGGGCTTTCTTGCTCGGGACCAGTCCAGCGTCCCCGCCGTCGCTCAGGCTGCTGCTGCGTCGTTTGCGGCTGACTTTGGCGGGGCGCGGGGCACAGTAGGCGGAGGTCTCCTCGGCTGTCGGCGCCTCCTGCGTGTCCATGGGCTCCGCAGACGGGTGCTCACCGTCGGGGGTCGCTGTCTCGGCCGTGGACTCAGCTTCCCGGGGCGGGTGCAGGCGAGGGTCAGAGGGGAGGGCGGGCGGCAAGGACACCTCGGGCTCGAGGGCCTCTACCTTGGCCGAGAGGTAGAGCTCCCGGGCGCTGCGCATGACCAGCGACAGCTGCAGACTCCGGTGCAGCCGCAGGCCACCGCGCTGCATGCGGGAGTGATACATCTTCCACACCGACAGGGTCATGATGCGCTGTGCCTCCTTCTGCACTTCCATGGCGACTCGACGGCGACGGCGGCGTGGGCTCCCGGGACGGACAGAACAGGCAGCAGGTGCACTCCGGACAACGGGCTCGCTCACGCCTCTCTCCACCAACCAACCCACGCAGTGACACTGCTAGGACGCTCTGCCCGGGCGCCCGCCACCCAGGCCCTTTTATACCCCCAGTGACGTCACTGAGAAACCCCGCCCAACCGAAGGACGCATCCGGGCTTTCCAACTCGTCGCGGCCAAACACTCCTTAAAGCGACAGAATGCGATTTACCCAGCAGGGAAAGGGGACGGGAACCCTGGCGAAGCTTCCCCCGACTCCACGCTGAGCTCTCTGGGTGGGCTCCTTTCTCTCGGCCCCGCCGATGCATCAGCGCCTTGGCCCAAGGGAGGGGGGCCGGGGGTGGGGCTCAGGGCCTACCCACAAGCTCGCGTCTGGAGGCCCCAGTGGGTCGTGGGTGGCAAGTTTCCCTTCACACAGGGAAAGACCTGGGTTCCAGCCTGACCATGAGTGTCTTCTGCACCAATAATCATGCTAACAGCGCTTACTACGTGCCAGGCTAGGTTAAGAGCTCTCCTTTTATCAGTAATTCACTGAACCGCAGCCTCCACTCCTCGGAGGTTACTGTTCTATCTGCTTCTTTCAAATGGGGAAACCAAGGCACAGTCACTGGGCCAATATTTACTAGACAAACAATATTTGCTACTGCTGTGAAAGGAGGTCACTGGGGCCTCCAGCTCTTCGGTCTCTAGCGTACGACAGCCCTTGCTTGTAGGCGGTGAGCCGCCTCGGGCTGCGGGTTCCCGTGATTCGTACCAAGCCATTCCCCCGCAGTCTCCTGCGACAGGAGCTCCATGGGTGGGTTTAGAGCTCGCACGGCTGCGAACCCGGCGCGCACGACAGTCCCCGTGAACACGTGGCTGCCGCCCCCCAGACAAGGGGGACGAGTTCCGCCTCCGCGCTCCGGGAGGCGGGGTTCGGTTGGGAGCTGGAAACCCAGCAATGCAGACACACAGCAAATAGAAAACCTCCGCCCTACCCTCCGCTACGCGCCGTCTCTCCAAGAAATCCTAATTGCAATTCCTCCAAAAAAGGGATGCAGACTTGTTCGAATGGCTCCATTCATTCCTGGTGCGGGCCCTTTAAGGGGTGGTGCGCCTCCCGTTTCCGCCCGCACTGGCTCGCGGCGCCTTCCCGCCACCAGCGCCCGCTGACTTCCACAACTAAATTTGGACGGAGTGACGTAGGACAGTCGCGCGGGCCGCTTCCGGTTGCCCATATTAGGAAAGGGCCCGTGATCGCCTTACCAGGCGGTGGCGGGGCTTCCGGGGGGGCGAGGGGCGGGGCTTTGCGCTCCGGGCACGCCCCTTCCCATCCCCCGTCTAGCCAGCCGGAGCAGGCTGGAGCCCCAGGCTTCCTGACTCGCATTCCAGCCATGTGGGTGGGGAGGAGAGTTTCACTTCCTTCCCTCCAGGGGCCAGGAAGGCGTGACGCCAGGAAAGCACCCCGCAGCGGGTAGGGGCGACCGGAGGGCTCCCACGGAGGCCATCTCCCAGAGACGCTACAGAACGACCCTACATACACAAGAGACGACCCGCTGAGACCCCGTTCATCCCATCTCTCCCCTTCCCAATTATTTCCCCCATACAAGGCCCCCTCCCAGGTTATCCCTGACCCCTGCCCCACACTGATCTTCTCAGGCCTTGGGGCACCCTCCCGTCCCGCCCTCCCCCCGCACGGTGGGAACTCAAAAATTATTCCCCCTTAAAAGACCATTCCCAAACTCGTCCCCATTCAACGATGGTGCCACACTGCGACGACCTGCCGAAGACACCCCCGTCCCCGCCCCGCTAACCTTACCACGGAGACCCCACAATGACTTACCCGGCCCAGGCGCTATCTCTGAGACCCCACGCAGCAACTCTGACGCGCAAGGGGGCGACCCTCTGAGGACTCCCTCGGATAACCCGCCCACCCTCCAGGGGAGACCAGGCCCCCTACCACTCAAAAAAGTGCTTTCCCGAAGCTTCCCTCACCCCTCAACACACAGCGCGCCACTGTCACACATAGGGACGACCCTGAGTCCCTTCGCTGATATTCCTGGCCCGTACCCAGACGGAGACCCCACACAGAGGGCCCCCCTGGAGACCATCCTCAAAGCCACCATACCTCCCGCGACCCCCAGGCTCGCACCCAGAAAGAATCCGCGATTCTGAAGACACCCACCTCCAGGCACGCTCTCGAAGGTGACCTCCCCCCGCCCCTGGAATATCTGGGACCCCCACTCACGGCCACCTCGCCCCAAGGCGACCTCGAGGTGCCCCCAGCTTGCCCACTTCTCAGGAAAGAGAGATTTGGAGAATGCGGCAGAACTCCCCGCAGGAGCAGGCCCGCTCCTCGCCCCGCCCCGGCAGGGAGAAGGAAGGACCACCTCTCCCCCAAACCTTGCCCAAACCTGACACTCGGGACCCTGGACTGGGACGATCTCCCAGGTGCCAGCTCAGGGAGTCCATGAAAACGTTCAACCAATCGAATGAGCTCCTTCCCCAGCCATAGTCCCCAGCCGCCAGAGATAAGGGAGGCTACCATTATTTACATTGCCCGTGCCTGGAAGGGAAACTGAGGTTGAGCAGGAACAATCCGAGGAACTGAGCCTTGAACCGAGATTCCGAACTCGGACCCGAACAGGCCCAGCCAGAACTCCGACACCGCCCCCTACGGTGCAGCACAAGAGGGCGAAGGGGCGGGGCATGTGTACCGGAAGCTGCCTCTGCCCACAACCAAGATGGCTGCAGAGAGGGCGGAAGTGTCCGCACGTCCGGCCTCCGAGGCCTCTCTTTCTGCCCTGGCGGTCCCGCTCTCGATGGTGGCGTGACGGGGGGCGGGGGTGGTGGCGCGTTCTTCTGGGTTGGGAGAGAACCAGCCCGCGAACCCAGGCCGGGAGGGGGTTTCGGCCTGGGGGGAAGGGGATTGACATGTCTCTCGAAGACCCCTTTTTTGTAGTCCGAGGGTGAGTGACAACGACGGGGGAGGGCGCAGGGTGCTCCGTCCCCAATCCAGCTAGTGCCCGGGTGCCGGCTCCAGCGTGCCCGGCGGGCTAGGCAAGGCCGTCGGGGTGCAAAGTGGGAGGCGCACGCAGGGGTATGTGGGGGTCTCCGGAGTCCCCCATGCGTTTGGGTTTGCAATCGGGGGCAGAGGCAGGCGGAAGGACCGCCTGCCCCCAGCTGCGCCCGCCGTGCCCCTGCCCGCAGCGAGGTGCAGAAGGCGGTGAACACGGCCCGCGGGCTATACCAGCGCTGGTGCGAGCTTCTGCAGGAAAGCGCGGCGGTCGGACGCGAGGAGCTGGACTGGACGACCAATGAGCTACGGAATGGCCTGCGCAGCATCGAGTGGGACCTCGAGGACCTGGAAGAGACCATCGATATCCTGGGGCTTTGTGGCCGGGGGTGGCATGGGAGAGCTCACTGCGGTAGCAGGGGGCCTGGGAGCCCGCCCTCGGGGAGGGCTAGACCCCTAGGGAGGGAGATGATGATGATATCTGGCTCTGGCCTTGACCCTTGACTCTCAGCCCACGTATAGTGGAAGCCAACCCAGGCAAGTTCAAGCTCCCGGCCGGGGACCTGCAGGAGAGAAAGGTGTTCGTGGAGCGGATGCGAGAGGCAGTCCAGGTCAGGAAAGGTCCTGCAGGCGGGGAGTGGGGGACGGTTTGAGTGTCTTTTTTGTTTTGTTTTGTTTTCTTTTCTTTTTTTTAACAGAGCCTCACTCTGTCGCTCAGGCTGGAGTACAGTGTTGCCATCTTGGCTTACTGCAACATACGCCTCCCGGTCTCAAGCGATTCTCGTGTCTCAGTCTCCTGAGTAGTTGGGACTTCACAGGTGCCTGCCACCATACCCGGCTAGTTTTTGTGTTTTTAGTAGAGACGAGGTTTCACCATGTTGGGCAGGCTGGTCTCAAACTCCCGACCTCAGGTGATCCACCCGACTCGGCCTCTCAAAGTGCTGGGATTACAGGCGTGAGCCACCGCGCCGAGCCTGAGTGTCTTTCCTCCCTAATGCTGTCCTCACCTCCAGGAAATGAAGGACCATATGGTCAGCCCAACAGCCGTAGCATTTTTGGAGAGGAATAACAGAGAGGTAAGCCTTCCTAACCCACTCGGTCCACCTGAGCGCCTGGGGGTGACCACGCCTTTGAGTGCAAGCCAGATCCCTCTGCATGTGTTCGCCTGTCCGTTTTGCGACAGTGCCCGTCCTCTGTGTGTGCGGTTGTCTTCTTGCTGTCTACCTGCCTACACTTTCTCGGTGTGTGCACCTGAATTTCTCTGTGTGTATATGTCCATGGGTTCCTCTCTACTGTCTCCTCTGGGTCTATACTGGTTTCCTGTTGCAGGGGACGGCTGGGGGCCTGTGTACCTATCTGCTTTCTGCTTCCATGCCATTTGTCCTGTTTGCAGCTGTTTCCAGGACGCATGCCTGCCTTTTACTCTTTTTTTTTTTTGAGATGGAGTCTTGCTCTGTTGCCCAGGCTGGAGTGTAGTGGCTCGATCTCAGCTCACTGCAAGCTCCGCCTCCTGGGTTCAAGCGATTCTCCTGCCTCAGCTTCCCTAGTAGCTGGGATTACAGGTGCCCATCACCATGCCCAGGTAATTTTTATATTTTTAGTAGGGTTTCATCATCCTGGACAGCCTGGTCTCGAACTCCTCACATCTCACATCAAGTGATCTGCCCGCCTCAGCCACCCAAAGTGCTGGGATTACAGACATGAGCCATCGCGCATAGCTTCCTTTTTTTTTTTTTTTTTTTTTTCCTGAGATGCAATCTCGCTCTGTTGCCAGGCTGGAGTGCAGTGGCGCGATCTTGACTCACTGCAACCTCCGCCTCCTGGGCTCAAGTGATTCTCCAGCCTCAGCTTCCTGAGTAGCTGAAATACAGGCACATGCCACCATGCCCGGCTAATTTTTTTTTTTTTTTTTTTTTTTTTTTTTTT